TAAACCTTCACCTGAAGTACAATAAAAAATTTTTAAAAAAAAGTAGAGAAAAATAAGGCACATTATGTACAGAGAGAAAAAGATAAAGATGACTGCAGATTTCTCATTGGAAATCATGCAAGGCAAAGAAAATGGAACACATTTAAAAAGTACTGTTCATACCATCTTAATTGTTGAAATTATTGGCACAAAGTTATCAGCCCGTTTTTGATCTATAGGATCTGTACTGCTGTTCTCTGTTTCATTCCTAATATTGGTAATTTATTCTCCCCTCTCTTCTTTTTTTCTTGCTCAATCTTGCTAGAAGTTTATAAATTTTATTAATATTTTTACAGTATCACCTCTTGGCTTTTTAAATTTCTCATTTGTCTGTTTTCTGTTTCATTGACTTCGCTTTTATCTTTATTATTACTTCCTTCTACTTACTTTGGGTTTAATAATCTATTCGTTTTGTAGCTTCTTAAGGTGGAAACTTAGATCCTTGATTTTTAAACTTTTTTTCATTTTTAATATAAACATTTAAAAGTGTAAATTTCTTTTTAAGCATTGCTTTTGGTGCATTCCATTAATTTTGATATGTTTTTTAATTATAATTGAGATAAAAATACTTCTAATGTTCCTGTGACAACTTCTTTGACCCATAGGCTATTTAGAAATGCTGTTTAGTTTTCAAATATTTGGGGCTTTTATAGATACATTATTGATATCTAATTGATTTTTTATTTTATTTTATTCAGAGAACATACTCTAAGATTTCGGTACTTTGAAATTTATTAATACTTATTTTATAATCCCCATATTATCTATTTTGGTGAACGTTCCATGTAAACTTGAATAAGATGTGAATTCTGCAGTGATTGGATATAAAGGTCTTTAATATCAGGTCAGTTTGGTTGATAATATTGTTCAAATACTTTATATCTTTACTGACTTTTTGTCCAATTGATTTATTCATTACTGAGAGATCAATCTTGTGGACCCTGTTCTGAAAGCATAGAAAGGACAGTTCAGGTTTCTGGATTACCAGTGAAGAACTTTTATGGGAACTGTACTTGTGGGCTTGGACAGTGGTGTCTGCAGAGCTCTAAGTTTTAATTGTGACTCTAAGTTGCAGTTTGGGAGCCCTGGGTAGCACAAAAAGTTAAGCACTCAACTACTAACCAGAAAGTTTATACCTATGCAGATGTGCCTCAGAAGAAAGGACTGGTGATCTTCTTCCATCAGATTACAGCCTTGAAAGCTCTATGGAGGACAGTTATACTCTGCATAGTGGGGTTGCCATGAGTCAGAATTGATTCAAGAGCAAATGGTTTGGTTTGGTTTGATTTTTTAGGTTGTAACTTATCAGCCACAGTAGGGTATTGTTGACATGGGGACTGGTGGTAGGACTGGACCCTGGAATTCTCTGCCATCTGCTGCAGAGCTCTCAGAGTATGCTAGAGAGCACTAGAGCTAGCCATTGAGCTGGTCTCTATAGAATACAGATGCTCAGCAGATCAAGGCTATGGAAAATTAGGCCAAGGGACTCTGAGGTAGGCTGGGCCTTAACCTCTCATAAAAATGGCCTGGCCTCTTGTGCTAGGCAAGAAGGGCCCTGAGCTCTGACACCAGCTTCTCCCTGGCGCTTGGGAGAAGCAGATGGAGTAACCCCAGGCTGTGATTATGGGGCATGCAGTGAACACTGGGTCTTCACGGAGTCCCTGGGTGATGCAAAAGGTTTATGCCCTCAGCTGCTGTCTAAAAGGTTGGAGGTTCGAGTCTATCCAGAGATGCCTTGGAAGAAAGGCCTGGTGATCTACTTCCAAAAATCAGCCATTGTGTACCATATGAAGCACGGTTCTGCCCCGACACACATGGAGTCGCCATGAGTCGGAGTCAACTCAATGGCATTTTTTTTCCCTGAGGTTCTTGTGCTAGGAGGAGGCGAGGAAAGCTGGGGAGGGCCTGGACTATCCAACATAAGGGTCTGGAGAGAGAACAAATGTTAGATTTGAAGTGATCTGACTTTCATGGAAGAAGGTCCTGAGAGAGAAAGTGGATTTAATTTAATTAAATGGCAGAACCTGGAAACATTCCTGAAAGCAACAGAACTCAGGGTGGGGATGTATCTATAGAATGCCTGCAGCCAGAGCTGGGCAGGAAGTGGTACACAACACCTGTCAGACGCACTATTTCTTACACTGCAATCCCTGTCTTTTTACACAGACATAGACAAGACAATTAGTTTAAAAATGGCAACAACAACAACAAAAACGGAATTCGTAAACATTTTGGTCAACACTTCCCAGTCATGAACACTCAAGGTTTATTAAATCTTTGGATTTCATTGTGAGTGTTTTTGTCTCATGTTAATCCTTGTTGGTATATCAGTCGTCCTGTTTCATTTCTCTCCTCACGTAGGAGACGTGTCTTCTGGGGCCTTTTGGGATAGTTGCTGTGTATGCACGCAAAGGCGGACATCTGGGTAGGGAGCTCTGGGTTTCCTGAATTCTCAGCACTGGGGCCTACGTTCAGGGGTTCAGACTGTGAGATGGGCAGACAAGGAAAAACATGCTCTCCATTTACAGGGCTTTGGGAAAGCTCTCGCCTGTTGCTTTTGGCTAGCTCTCGGCAAGCCACAGCTAACGAGAGGACAGAGAGAACATCGAGACAGGAAGCTGGACCTTGAAGGCATCCCTCCCCCTCTTCCCACCCTACACCTCCACTGCCTAAGAGTAAATATGGGCTGGTTGATGAGTTTTGACATCTGTTTAGTGGTGTGCTTGTTATAAGCTCTTATCCTGACTTTCTCAGTGGGTTTCTGCTGGTTTCAGCAACTACCTAGTTATTTTCTCAACACCTTTTGTTACAGCTGCACTGAGCTAGTGACGACCTGTCCAAGCTGAGAAATCAGTTCTCTTGATGACTTTAAGCACAATTAGGGGTGGTTACACGCGACTTTTGGCATTGGTGGTTCAGTGGTAGAATTCTCACCTTCCATGCAGAAGACCAGGGTTCAGTTCCTGGCCAAGTGCACCTCATGAGCAGCCACCACCTGGTAGTGGAGGCTTGTTTTTCTATGATGCTGAACAGGTTTCAGCAGAGCTTCCAGACTAACACAGACTAGGAAGAAAGACCTGGATATCTACTTCTGATAACTAGCCAATGAAAACTATGGATCACAATGGTCTGATCTGCAGTTGACCGTGGGGATGGCACAAGACCAGGCAATGTTTTGTTCTGTTGTGTACTGAGTTTCCATGAGTTGGGGGTCGACTCGATCGCAGCTGACAATAACAACATTCGACTCACCCTTAAATTGTCTCCCAGACTCACCGTTTTCTCTTCAGTCGTACGGCAAGTTCTGGCCAGCTCATGCCTGCATGTCCTAGCTGCTCCCCACCCCGACTCCAGTACCCCGTTGTTACAGGGACTCTGGTATGAGGCCACGCCCACCTCAGAATGAGTACTACTTCTATCACATTGCCTCCATCTGAAGAATAAAATAAGAAAACATCATATTTTGTCATTCCATCTCCAAACTCCTCTGTCTCACATGTTCCATGCATATAGTGATTCATAAATAGTTTTTTAGTAAAAATAATAACCACAATGTAGAGGTATAAGTACTGTATTCATTTCCAAGTGGTGCTGTAACAAGTTTCTACAAACTTAGTGGCTTAAAACTACACAAATTTATTCTTATAATTCTGTAGGTTAGAAGTTCAACACAGGTCTCACTGGGATGTATCCCGTTCTGGAGGCTCTAGAGGAGAGCCCGTTTCCTTGCCTTTTCCAGCTTCTAGAGGCTGCCTGTATTTCTTGGCTCCTGGCCCCCTTCCTCCATCGTCAAAGTTAGCAACAGCAGCTGAAGTCCCTCCCACATCATCACATCTGCTTTTCTACTTCCTTCTTCTACTTTTCAGAACCCGGATAATTATATTGGATCCCCCAGGTTAGTCAGGATACTTTCCCTATCTTAAGGTCTGCTGATTAGCGACCTTAATTCTGTCTGCTACCTTAATTCCCCTGTGCCATGTAAACTAACATACTCACAGGTTCCAGGGATGACGACACGGGCATCTTTCGGGGACCAGTATTCTACCGACAAGTATCTAGCCATATACAAGCGCTTTCACTACTTTATTCCTTTTGTGCCTCTGAACAATTTACACACAGGGGACCTGAGACTCCAGAAGTCCCACAGCCAGGAGCCAGTACAGCCAGGGCTCAACTTCAGGTTTCTGACTCTGTATTTGGGATCTTTCTAAAATATTGTGCCACCCCTCACTTTGCTGGAGGAAAGAAGTAGTGCCCAGTTTTCAAGCTCCGCTCTTACATACCTGCCTGCCTTATTTATAAAGTGTTTATTTCTCACTCCAGTCTTGGGGGGATCTTCATAAGCCCATTGAGTGTCATACTCGTTCATAGCTCTTTGACTTGTCTTTGTCCCTGCTGTGTCTGCTCACTTTCCTTTTCCCGCAGTAAGAACCTTGCTCTCTTCTTCCATTTTCCTTGATGCAGTGGCTACCTCTTCCTATTCGTCTCAGGCTCCAAGCTCACCATGCATTCTTGCTCATCTGTCTCTCAGAATTCTTGCTGAACTTGTAGTTAGTACTGTTCAGTTGATTATTCTCTAATTATTGCCTGAATATTAGTTTTACCTACTGTCCTAGGCTGTCAGAGGTGCCAGTTATTGAGGACATACTAAATGCGAGGCCCTCTTCTAGGAGTCATTCATTAATTCCTTACAGCAGCTCTGAGCTAGGCACTAATAGGCTTCCTTCCGTGTGAGAAAACTGAAGCTCAGGGAGATTAAGTTGGAAATACGAGTTTCACAGTTAATGAGTAGCAAAGCTGGAAGTGCTCAGTAAGTAATGCGGATTGGACCACACATCTGTGTTCTCAGCATGGGTGTCTTGAGGCCAAGTCTTTTGACATACTCTCTCATTCTCCCAGAATGGTGTGCATAGATACTAAGCACAAATGTGATTGAGTCATTTTATTCTTTTGCTCCGCAGGGTCTCAAAACAGAGCATTGATAATGAAAGGAGGTACAGCCTGGAAAACGATGTTACCTTGGCCAAGACACTGCAGCAATACCTTCCGTTCCTGGGGGTCCTGTCCCAGGCCAAAGCTTCAAACATGTACCCCAGGATGAAGAATGACAAGCCACCAATTAAGGTCAAAACTTATAACTTACTTTTTATGATCTAAGTTTGTCTCTTACTTGGTTCTGCACAGTTTTCTCCAGGGTGCAGATACTTTTGAATGTTTCATAAGTCTTCACTCCTCTTAATTTGACTCCTTTATCCCATGCTTATGGGCAGGAAAGTGGACTGGACAGCATGGAGAGAGATGCTCATGGTCTGCTTTTAGTGTCGCACAGACTTCCAATCCAGCAATGTGCCTGAGCCTACATGTAGGAGGCCCACCTGTTGTGAAAGTTGAGCCAGTTAATTTTCCAAGCCACCTTGGGGCTAAGGGTCATTACAACCTCTTGGGGATTGTAACTCTAGAAAACTCACTGTTAACAATATAAACATAATGCCTGGAAGGCAAAACAGAGTATCACCACCCTCTAAAGGACTATGCATTCACTGTCTGGAACCCAGGACAGACAGGGCCTGAGGACGTTATAGCAATGGATGCTCAAAACTGATGAGAGGGAGGAGGGCAAAAAGACTCTGAACTTGCCTGGAATTTTTGGGCATAGGGTGACCAACTATCTCAGTTTTCCTGAGATTATCCTGGATTTACCACCGAAAGTCCTGTGTCCCAGGAAGCTCTTCGGCCCCAGGCAAACCCAGACAGCATAAAAATTCTGTGTCCTGAGTAGGAGCAGAGAGTTTGGTTACCAAAAGATGAGATGGGTGGACAAGAAAGACAGAAGAGACACAGGCATTGGAATATAAACTACTATAAATTTTTATCCAGAGCTAGGCCTAACTGTTCACAGTCCTCAGTTAGAAGATCATTTTATACTAAAGCAAAATCTGCCCAAGAGCTATTTTGGAATGTGAAAGTTATTCAAAAGAGCATTTCAAGAAGCAGAATTAGAAATGTCCATGAACTTTTTAAATGAAAAAGTGTGCATGTTTATCATGACAACTTGTTAAACAGAATTGCCAGATTCTGACTTGCCTGGAAAGCAAAGGAGACGGGTGCTAAAAAAATTATCTTCAGAGTCTGAGGACCATTATACATTTTCAGGGTAGAATTTTGGGCAAAATGTTGAAGTCCAGGATGATCCTGGGTATGCTGGATATTTGACAGCTCTACTTAACACTTCTTTTTGGCAAAGCATTAGTTACCATCACTTAAATTTGACTTTTTTTTTTTTTTGTCTTTATGAAATGGAAGACAAGTTCTTGCAAGACTGACAGACAGTTAGGGGATTCTTTTAGCTTCCTTTTAAACTCCACCAGGGTTTCATCAGAAGATGGCTGTGGCCCTCGTGACAGCCCTTGGAAATACCTGGAAAGCAATCTGGGCTGATTGGGTTTTTTTTCCCTATAATCAAGAGGTTGAAATTATTTCATCAATTCTGGGCTGGTATGTTGGGCAACAAGCATGTACCTAGGAAGGGCAGGTCAGGATTTTTTGAGAAAATACACCACTGGCCAAGGTTGATATAGGATCTTGACGGAACTTTGAATTTGGCACATCACAAAACAAAGGTGCACATTTTCATAGAAGAATGCTGCATTCCCACAATTTGAGGTCCAGTTTGATGTGGGCTAGATTAAGAAGCTAGTTCTGTATATTAAGAGATCAAGATCTGCTGCACTTTTCTCTGAAATACCTTGTGTTAAGGCCCTTCTGAGACTTCCAGCCTCGTACTTGATTAGGAGGCATTTAGTGATAATGTTTGATCATAGAGACCAACATTGCCCCATCCCACAAGAACAAATAGTTTTGACCTGACCCAGGCACTTGCTAAGGCAACACTGTGTTTCGGAGCCCCAGGAGGTCACACTCAGGAGGCTGAATTGGATTGTTCCAGGGGAAGCTGAACGTTTTCCCCAGTGGCACCACTTCCATATCTAGATTTTGCCCCAACGAAAAAGCAGCAGTGACATGATCCCCTTGGAGTATCTGCTGAGTGTCCTAGACCATGAGAATTTGTTTGCCTGTTTTGTGGAAGTCATCCCTAATGGTGGAGGGCAGTGGCCTTCAGGCGTCACGGAAGTATACCAGTAACAGAGCTCTACTGCCCTCTAAAGTAGACAATAGGAAAGTGCTTGAGCTCCCCTACCACCAACCTAGACCATTTGTCAGATTGAAAAATACATTTTAAAGCCTTTCATATGAATTACTGGCAAGCATCTAAACACAAGCCTTAAACCTAATTGAAGCAGCTTTATTTAACACTAACTTTGTTAATGTTAAACTTAAATTTAAGATTTTCCTGTTTTGCATTTTTTCACAGGTATTGACTTTAATCTTTTTTTTTTTTGGAGCCAGAGACCAGGCTAGACATTGTGGGCATTAAAGATGAATCGCACATGGACATTTCCTCAGGGAGTCAGTGAGGTGTGCATGTGGGAGGTGAGGTAAGATGTGCCAGGCAGATTTTGGAACCCAACAGCTCTATGACCACAGGGAAGTTGCTTAACCTCCCTATCCTTCAGGTTCCTCAGCTGTAAAGTTTGGATGATAATTTTAAAAAACCCAAAACCAATCCTGGTGCCGTCGAGTCAATTCTGACTCATAGTGACTCTATAGGACAGAGTAGAACTGCCCCATAGGGTTTCCAAGGAGTGGCTGGTGGATTCGAACTGCTGACCTTTTTTGGTTAGCAGCCGACCTCTTAACCATACTCATGACTATTGTAAGGATTAAATAAGGAAACACATGTAAAACCCATGGCGAAATGTCAATAAATAGCAATTATTATATTATTACTGTTAATAATATTAATAAAATAATATTTTAAAGATGAAATCAAAATTATGTCAAGCCTGAAAACCATTCAGTGGACTCTTAGTAGCGTTCTCTGACTCTACATAAAGGAAATCAGAGGAAAGCACTGTACTTGGAAAACAGATTTAATCAATATAACCCACTGCCTTACAATACCAAGAAGCAGCAGGCTGCTATCCTCACCATAATGCAGTGCAATGTAGATTTCATTTGTTTACTTCACAGCACAGTGGAACACCAACATCTCTCCCAATTCTCTTGAATATTGGTAATTTAAGTACACACAAATGTAAAATAATCTTTTTGTCTTCCTCCTTTGTGCCCTGTTGTGTCTTTATCAAAACGGATATGAAGCTTCATGCTCAGTCTTCTCTACTGCTGTGGGATTTCTGGGCCTCTGAAATGGAGACATCATATCATGTCCCTAGATGCTGGATATGAATAATCAATAAACAGTAAGCATGTGCAGACCAAAGATGGTTTTAGTAATATAAGTGGGAAGGGAAAGAGAATCACTAAAAGTTCCAGAGACTCAGAAGAAGTTTGAATGAAAGGAAATCAGTTGAAATTTCTCTGTGAAGCATGTGAACAAGTTTTTCCCCTAACTTAATGGGGATATTATACAAACGTAGACTTATGTCCAAAGTGCCCTCATCATCTGTTATAGAAATAGAATATAGCAAGAACACACACTCTGAGGAACACCCAGCTTGCCCAGATAGGGGCAGTTAATAAAGCATAAAGAACAAAGAGCCATTGTTTTTTGGGGGGTGGAGGTGGGGAGATTTCTGCTTTTTTTTTTTTAAATTGTTCTTTAAGTGAAAGTTTACAGCTCAAGTTAGTTTCCAGTACAAATATTTATACACACATTGTTATGTGACCCTAGTTGCTATCCCTTTAATGTGAAAGCATACTCCTACTTTCTACCCCGGATTTCCCGTGTCCATTCAACCAGCTCATATCCATTTCTGCCTTCTCATCTCGCCTCTGGACAGGAGCTGCCCATTTGGTCTCCTGTGTCTGATTGAACTAAGAAGAACACTCTTCATGAGTGTCATTGTACGTCTTATAGTCCAGTCTAATCTTAGTCTGAAGAGTTGGCTTCGGGAATGGGGTCAGTTCTGGGTTAACAGACAGTCTGGGGGCCATGTCTTCTGGGGTCCCTCCGGTCTCAGTCAGACCATTAAGTCTGATCTTTTTACTAGAATTTGAGTTCTGCCCCCCACTTTTCTCCTGCTCCATCAGGGACTTTCTGTTGTGTTCCCTGTCAGCGCGATCACTGGTGGTAACTGGGCACCATCTAGGTCCTCTGGTCTCAGGCCGATAGAATATCTGGTGTATGTGGCCCTTTTTGTCTTTTGGGCTAATATTTTCCTTGTGTCTTTGGTGTTCTTCATTCTTCTTTGCTCCAGGTGGGGTGGGATCAATTGATGCATTGTAGATGGCTGCTTGCTAGCTTTTAAGACCCCAGATGGCACTCACCAAAGTGGGATGCAGAACATTTTCTTAATAAGCTTTGTTATGCCAATTGACATAGATGTCCCCTGTAAGCATGGTCCCCAGACCCCCGCCCCTGCTACTCTGTCCCTCGAAGTGTTTGGTTGTATTCAGGAAACTTCTTAGCTTTTGGTTTAGTCCAGTGGTGCTGATTTCCCCTGTATTGTGTGTTGTCCTTCCCTTCACCTAAGATAATTCTTGTCTACTATCCAGTTAGTGAATTTCCCTCTCCCTCCCTCCACATCCTCATAACCATGAAAGAATGTTTTCTTCTGGGTTTAAACCTTTTCTTGTGTTCTTGTAATAGTAGTCTCATACGACATTTGTCTTTTTGCAACTGACTAATTTCACTCAGCTTAATGCCTTCCAGATTCATGCATGTTATGAGATGTTTCTCGGATTCATCGTTGTTCTTTGTCGTTGCGTGGTATTCCATTGTTTGAATATACAATAATTTGTTCATCCATTCGTTCGTTGATGGGCACCTACATCATTTCCATCTTTTTCCTATTGTGAACAGTGCTGCAATGAACATGGGTGTGACTGCTCTTATTTCTCTAGGATATATTCCAAGGAGTAGGATTGCTGGATAGTATGGTACTTCTATTTCTAGCTTTTTACGGAAGTGCCAAATAGATTTCCAAAGTGGTTGTACCACTTTACATTCCCACCAGCAGCATATAAGTGTTCCAGTCTCTCCACAACCTCTCTAACATTTATTGTT